CCTTATCTTCCTCTCACGGAGCAGCTGGTAATTTCGAACTGCTGACCTTGCAGTTCACAGCCCGAGTCGTAACCACTATGCTACCAGAGCTCCTTTTATATATCTTCTTGTTGTTAAATGTCATTGAGCCAATTCTGACCCATAGTGACCCTATATAGAGTTTCCAAGGAGTGACTGGTGAGCTTGAACCACTGACTTTGCAGTTCAAACAGCTTTGCAGTCTGGTGCATAAGCCCACAGTACCACACTAGAACTCCCCTTTTATATATGGATATTGTTTATTTGTCCAGTTGTGAGTTTGAATTTTTGTTTTCTTTACATTGAGATGCAACCCATACTGAAGGCTGTGGTCTTTGATCTTCATCAGTAGGTATTTCTTTGCTTTCAGGAAGCAAGGTTGTATCATCTGCATATCTCAAGTTGTTAATGAGTCTTCTTCCAATCCAATCACATTCCAATGTGATGCCACATTCTCAGATTGTTTGCTCAGCATACAGATTGAATAAGTATGGTGAAAGGATACAACCCTGGCACATACCTTTCCAAATTTTAAACCATTCAGTGGTCCCTCGTTGTATTCGAACTGCTGCCTCTTGGTCTATGCACAGGTTCCTCATAAGCACAATGAAGTGTTCCAGAATACTCATATTTTGCAATGTTGTCCATAGCTTGTTATGATCAACACAGTTGAAAGCCTTTGCAAGGCAATAAAACATCTTTATTGTATTCTCTGCTTTCACCCAAGATCCATCGGATATCAAGATTGATATCCCTCATTCTACGTCCTCTTCTGAATCAAGCTTGAACCTCTGGAAGTTCTCTGTCAATATATGGTTGCAGCCATTTTGGATTACCTTTAGTAAAACTTTACTAGCATGGGATATCAATGATACTGTCAGATGATTTCCACATTCCGTTGGGTCACCTCTCTTAGGAATGAGCTCAAATATGGATCTCTTACAGTAGGTTGGCCAGGTAGCTGTCTTCCAAATTTCTTGGCAGAGGTGAGTGAGTGCCTCCTGTGCCGCCTTCCTTTCTTGAAAAATTTCAATTTATATTCCATCAATTCCTGGTGCCTTGTTCTTTGCCAATGACTTCAGTGCATCTTGGACTGCTTCTTTCAGTATCATTGGCTCTTATATGTTGCTTCTTGAAATGGTTGAACTTAACCAATTCTTTTTGGTACTGTGACTCTGTATAAGTCCTTCTATCTTCTTTTGATGCTTTCTACATCATTCAACATTTTGCCCACAAAATCCTTCAATACCACAAGTCGAGGTTTGAGTTTTTTCTTCAGTTCCCTCAGCTTGAGAAATACTGAGCATGTTCTTTTCTTTTGTACAGCTCTTTGCACATTTCATTATAATATTTGACTTTGTCTTCTGGAGCTGACCTTGGAAATTTTCTTCCATTTGCTTTAGCATCTCTACACTGGACCAGCAAGTTTCAGAGTCTCTTCTGATACCCATTTTGGTCTTTTCTTTTTTCTTGTCTTCCTAATGACCTTTTGTTCTCTTTCTGTATGATGTTCTTGATGTCATCCCACAACTCTTCTGGTCTTTGGTCTTTAGTGTTTAATGTATCAAATCTGTTCTTCAGATGATCTCTAAATTCAGGTGGGATATGTTCAAGGTCATATTTTGGCTCTCGTGTACTTGTTTTCATTTTTTTCAGCTTCATCCTGAATTTGCAGATGAGCAATTGATGGTCTGTTCCACAGGCTGTCCTTGGCCTTGTTTTGGCTGATGATGTGGAGCTTTTCCATTGTCTCATTCCACAGATGTAGTTAATTTGATTTTTGTGTATTCCATCTGGTAAGGTCCATGTGTATACTCACCTTTTATGTTATTTAAAAAGGTATTTGCAATGAAGTAGCCATTCATCTTGCAAAACCCTATCATGCAATTTCCAGCATTGTTTCTATCATTTAGGCCATATTTTCCAACCACTGATTCTTCCTGTTTCCAACCTTTGTGTTCCTATAACCAGTAATTATCAATACATCTTGATTGCATGTTTGATCAATTTCAGATTGAAGAAGTTGGTAGAATTCTTCAATTTCATCATCAATGGCTTTAGTTGTTGGTGCATAAATTTGAATAACAGTGATATTAACTGGACTTCCAACCTTTGCATCCCAATCACCAATAATTACCAATAAATAAATCTTGATTGCATGTTTGATCAATTTCAGATTGAAGAAATTGGTAGAATTCTTCAATTTCATAATCACTGGCTTTACTGGTTGATGTATGAATTTGAATAATAGTGGTATTAACTGGTCTTCCTTGTTGTAGCTAAGTACCCTGAAGTCGGTTCCGACTCATAGTGATCCTGCACAGGGTTTCCCAGGCTGCAAATCTTTATGGGAGCAGAAAGCCTCATCTTTCTTCCGCGGAACAGCTGGTAGTTTTGAACTGCCAGCCTTGAGGCTAGCAGCCTGATTCGTAACCACTATAGATATTATCCTATTACACACAGCATTGTACTTCATGACTGATCTGGATATGTTCTTTTTGATGATGAATGTGATGCCATTCATCTTCAATTTGTCAACCCCAGCATAGTAAACCACGCAATTGTCAGATTCAGTGCCAAAACCAGTCCTTTTCAGCTAATGCCTATGATATCAATGTTCATGTATTCCATTTCATTTTAGACATTTCTAGTTTTCCTAGACTCATACTTTGCACATTGCATGTTCTGATTATTAATGGATGTTTACAGCTGTTTCTTTTCATTTTGAATTTTGCCCCATCAGCAAATGAAGGTCCCGAGGGTTTTACTCCATTCGCATCATCACGGTCAATTCTACTTTGAGGAGGCAGCTCTTCCCTATACACATTTTGAGTGCCTTCCATCCTTAGGGGCTAATCTTCTGGCACTATTAGCTGACAATATTCTGGTGTTCTTCATCATGTTTCCATATTCAATAATGTAGTGCTGACAATATTCCACTGCTATTCATAAGGTTTTCAGTGACTAAACATTCAGAAGTAGCCTGTCTCTCCTTCTTCCTAATCTGTCTTCATCTGGAAGTTCAGCTGAAACCTGTCCACAGTGGTGACCCTGCTGGTACTTAAATGCCTGTGGCATAGCTTCCAGAATCACAACACACAAGCCACCACAGTATGACAAACTGACAGGCGAGTGGTGGTAAAATGGATATACTAATTATTAATCATTACCCATTTTATACTTTTCTTTGTGGGATGATTTTTATAGGCTAGCTTTCTTAAACAATCTATTCAGTGATATTTCAACTGATGACATTTCCTGGGGCATTTCACTATAGCAAAAAGGCATTCAAAATCATTTAGTCTGCACAGTGTTTCAGATTCAAGAAAATAATCCAAGTAACACACACATCTTTGACAGTCCAAGTACAAGAGTTGTCATAATATGCACAGTTGCCAGTTAACTTGATGAAAACTGGAAAACTGGCGATTTCTTGACTCTCATATAGGGTTCATTTATTCTTCATTCCCTCTTTGGTGTCTAATTTTTAGTACCAATGCTCTACTACCTCTTGTTCAGAAAGTAAAACAAATGTCCTCCCACCCCCTAAAAAAAACAAAACATAACAAAAAGCAAAACTTTGACGAATTACATAAAAGAGCCATGTCTGAAAGGGGGAGCCTTGCTCTGGTTTGTTGAGCATGATAAGGATGTTTCTGAATTTGTACAGATGTGACCATCAGGGCTTTTGTTGCTTTAAAACAGTAGTGGTCATCTAGAAAAAACTAATGTTAGGCAGAGGAGAGAAAAATGTGAGAAGAGAGGCAAGCATAAACTGTGTTATATGTTATCCCAGTCAGTAGGCCTTAACAATGTCAAACTGATAGAATGGTGACATGCACTTTTCTAGGTTTGTGCCTTCCTTCTTGCGACTCGCATCCTGGAACGTCATTATGTTTGTGTGCTTTGAACAACTGAAACGAGAACTGATGAAGTCCAGGCGGACAGTCGACGGTGCCACATAACCAGCTTCAGGACAGGAATGGACAGTGCCAGTGGGTATCTCTGCTGACAGGATTCAAAAACACTGATTCATTTTATTTCACCCCAAAAAGAATTCTGGTAGATTTAGAGTTTGGACTTTTCCTTTCTTTCTTTCTTTTTTTTTTTTTTAAGCAAAACTAGTTTCTATTTTGTATAACTTTTATACTGAAGATCAAAACAAAACACCCAGTACTTAACCAGGCAAATGAAATGTCCAGACAAGTTACTGCATTTGGCTGATTTTTAAAATGAATTATGATTAAATATGAACAACTTTAACATGTTTTAATTATAACTCAAACTGGTAGAAAAGGAAAACTGAGTGAAATGCATTTTACATTTACAAATAGTTAAAAATGAAAAGCTATCAAGGAAAATACTAGTTTTCTTTTCATTTATTAACCACAGTTATCTGTTAGTATATTCAATAAAATAATGCTAATACCTCTGAAAAGTTTGTCTTTTGGGATCTTGATATAAGAGTGAAAGTTCTCTTAGTTACAAAACAGTCCAATTATAAGTGAAAGTTATCCCAGTCAGTAGGCAGAAGCTTAATTTGAGTTATTAGAGATTTAAAATTTTTAGAGTCCCTACTATATGGAAAAGATAACAGCTTCTAAAGTGCATGCCACCATTCTATTAGTTTGACACTAGATTTATTTGGGTATTATTATGAGAGTCATCCTATTTATCCCAGAATCACATTTTAGAGTGCCATGTATCCTGGGAATAAAAAAAAAAAAAAACAGCTTGAGTTTCCCAATGAGATGAAAATTAATCTTCATGGCAACTTTTTAGCAAAGTTAAGTTCATCATTAGTATCAGTAGTAACCTTTTTCACATCCTGCAAATATCCCAAAGTTCGACAACGTACTATATAGTAAGGGTGTGGGGAAACAGCTTGGGATAGTGTATATACCCACTAAATCTGAACTTGTGCATATCTTACAAGATATTCCCTTCCAGTATTTCTTATAAAAGCAAAAGATTCTAAATAATATGGGAAATTATCATATGCATGCATCATGTTGTTCTTAAGTTGACTCCAACTCATAGCGACCCTGTATAGGGTTTCCAAGGAGCAGATGGTGAGTTTGAACCGCCGACTTTGCAATTCAAATGATTTTGAGGTCTAGTGCTTATCCTACAGTGCCACACCAGGACTATATACATACATATGTGTAATGTGTACATATAGAATTGGAATCCTGGTGTGGTGCTGTGGTATAATGCACTTGACCGCAAAGTTGGTTTGAACTACAAGGTCAGTGATTCAAACTCACCAGTTGCTCCTTGGAAACCCTATACTGGGTTACTATGAGTTAGAACTGACTCAGTGCACTTAACAACAACATATTGGAACAATTTGCAACTGTAAAAATACAGAATGGGCAAGCTATATATTAATAACAAAATAGCTTGAAGATGCATTGTGAAGTTAGAGAAACAAAACCCAAGTAAACAGTGCAGTACTCTGGCTCCATACGATAAGCACTGGACTGAAAACCACAGGATCTGTGGTTCAAGGCTACCAGCCACGCCGTGGGAGAATGTTGAGGCTTTCTGCTTCTGCAAAAAGGTAAAGTCTTGAAAATCCTATACAGGGTCACTGAGTCAGAACTGACATCCGGCACTTTTAACAACCACCCTTTATAAAAGGAGCACAGTGGGTTATGAGTTGGGCTGCAAACCACTAGGCCAGCAGTTTGAATAAACCAGCCATTACCTAGATGAGGTTTTCTGTTCTTGCAAAGATTTACAGCTTCAGAAATCCTATATAAGGGTTGCTGAGTTGGAACTGACTATAAGGCACACAACCTCCATCACTACCCTTTATAAATGAACAAATTAGCATCATGATAAATGGAGGAAAGATTGAAACTATCAAGGATTTCACTTTCCTTGGATCTACAACTAATGTTCATGGAAGCAACGGTCGGTCACAAAATCTAAAGATGTATACTGCATTGAATAATCTGCTACAAGAAACCTCTTTAAAGTGTTAAAGAGTAAAGATGTCACTTTGAGGACTAAGGAGTGCCTGACCCAAGCCATGGTATTTTCAATTGCCTCATATGCACGTGAAAGCTGGACAATGAATAAGGAAGACCACAGAAGAAATGATGCATTTGAACTGTGGAATACTGACAGTCCCACAGACTGTCAGAACAACACAAGAAATCTGTCTGGAAGTAGAGTCAAATGTTCAGAAGTGCAGACAGTGAGACTTCATCCTGTGTACTTTGGGCATGTTATCAGAAAGGACCAGTTCCTGGAGAAGGACTGCATCTTTGATAAACTGGAAGGTCATTGAAAAAGAGGGAGATCCCCAATGAGATGTAGTGATGCAGTGGCTGCAACAATGAGGTTATAAAAAAGGACTGTGTGGATGGCGCTGGACCAGGCAGTGTTTCATTCTGTTGCATACAGGGTCATTATGAGTCGGATCTGTTTCAATGGCACCTAACAACTACAACCACCCTTTATAAAAATAAGGGGGGAGGTAGATATTGTTTGTGGCGGTTTCTTTTAAAATGAAGCAAGTTTCAGTCTCATAAGCAACTGTTCTCCTTTTAAATAGATAATCAGGAGATGACTCGTGAACATAAATAACTTAAGTAGGAACATAGGGAATGGGAAGAAAATAGAGGTATCAACAGAAAGACATAATAATTTCAATGTATTTTTTTATTTGCTCATTTAAAATTCTGAACAAAATGACATCACATTTCACACTATTGCTTTCACATAAAAAGTCAACTGTCTTAGTCGATGTCCAAAATGATTTAAGTTGCCAACTGGCACTTTTTCCCCCAGGGAAAGCTAATGCTTTAGTAGTTTTTGAATACTTGGCTTAACAGAAATGTAAAATCACCCTAGGATCATGTAGTAGTTGTGTCTTACCTCATCAAAAGTTGAAGTCAGAAGAAAAAATAGTTCAAGGCATGATTTCATTTGGATTGTAACAATTCCACGAATCTCCATCTAAGATTTTTATGGAGAGATTCACACATATGAAAATGGACATCAAGCCTCCCCAGACTTATTCATGGAGAAGTGTGATGGAGCATTTATCCTGAGAAACTAGCTGCTGGTCCCCAACCATAATTTCAAGGATAATTATTGCCCTCAAAGCCAAACCTCCTCTTCGGTGCCATGGTAAGAATGGAATCTTTTCTGCTTTAGCAATGAGCAGTCCACTCTTCACATACACGTAATGCTTCTCCTTTACGCAAATCTTTCTCCAAGGCCTACTTCACTGAATGCTCTCAAAGGGGAGACAGAGAATGTGAGCAATTATGAGCACTGGTGTAAATATGAAGAATACATATATTTTCACATAGAAAAATACATACAAATCCAAGTAGGTCTTAAAATACAAAAAAAAAAAAAAAAGCAGGATGGGTAGTTTGAAGACAAAGATTCTGTTTCCAAAACAGTAAATGGCACCAGTAAGACACTGTTATATGTGGTCATATCATCATTTTTAGATGCAAAAAGAGGTTGTTGTAGGTTCCTTGATACCCCCTGGTTTCTCCCATTTCTTTAAAGATTGTCCTTCAGAACAAATCTAAACTATAACTCTTATAACAACTGTTTTTTGACTATTCTCTCTGACCTATTACACAAAAAAATCACAAAATTGAATTTCTTTTTGATGCTAAAAGAAATGCATAATTTTTCTGGTACTACACTATCATGATATTGTATCACTACTTTGGCCTTTTATTATTATTATTATTTTAAAAATCCCCAAACCTAAAATTCTAAGTGGTGAGTTTTAAGACTCCATCAAATTCTAAAATACATATGAAAGAAAAGTAAGAAGGAAAATACAATTATTGTATTTTTCTTTCCATGAATGTCATTGTCACACATAAGTCAGAAGGTTCATTTCACATTCTAATTTACATGGTGACATTTAGCTTGGCTTTCAGATGATCAAACTTTAGAATTGACTGGTGGCTTTTAGATCAATTCACTATAGCTCTGAAATAGTTACTATTCTAAGTAAAAACAGAATCATATCTATAATGTACAAATGGAGGTGGATTTAAGTAGTATACTATTGGGTAAAGTTTATGATAATGGTTTCTTAACATATTAAAGGACATAAGATTCTTTTTTTTTTTTTAACTCCCTAAAAGGGAGAAAACTTAATTGCTTAATGTTTCCTCTTCCATACTCCAATAACTCTTTTGTGAAGTACAGTGGCAAAACTTTAAATATCAGTTTAAGATCTCAGCTATCAAAAGATTAAAACATAAAGATACATATTTTCAACACAAAAGTGAAAAGATTAACAAAATTGCTTCCCATGTGGTAGTTAGCGCCCCGATACAATGAACTTTAATGGGTAACACTTGATCCTTATGATTTTGTGACATATCACAGAACTCTAGCGGAACGAGAAAGCATGAAAACATTTTTTAAAAAATTAAGATACTTCCAAGGTTGAGAAGCCTTTTCAAGAAATCACATTATAAAAAAAAAAAAAAAATAAAATGCACCT